GTTGGTCTTGAACTCCTGACCTTGTGATCCACCCGCCTTGGCCTCCCAAAATGCTGGGATTACAGGCATGAGCCACTGCGCCCAGTCTATCCAATTTTCATTCTCTGAGATTGCTAGTTTATCTTTCTGAAAGGGCTTAAGATGTTCTCTTTCAACTTTTCAATTATACAGCAAGTGTCCAGTCAATCTCTGTTTTCCTTTTTCTATTGATAATCAGCTGCCCCTATCTATCTGAAGACTGGTATTTTCCTCAACACAGGAAAATTTTCTTTTATTATGTCTGCGAATACATCTTCCCTCTACTTTTGTTTGCTTCTTTGTTTATTAAACAGAAGTTGGAACTTTTGTTCTCTTCATGTCCCTTATCTTTTCTTCCATATTTGCCCCCTTTATCTAATATCTTAAAAGGTATGTCTTTAGCTTACTTTCCAAGATACTCATTAACTCTATCCCAATATTTTGCCTTTCTGCTTAACAAAAGTCAACAATCATACTTTCAATTTTCACAAATTCTGTGGTCCTCTGTCTCAACTTTTATACCAAACTGATTTGGCTTCAAGAATGAAGTGCATCCTGAGCAATAACATTTTTACACGTTCTACTTGCTTTATTTCTTGAGTTTTCACTGTTGCTGTTGGTGTTCTAGTCATATTTATAAATGAAAATTAGATTGATTTGGTATGGACTTACTCCTATACAGTTGTATAAGTCCAATAAACGTATCTTCTAAATGGCAAGTGGTTTGTTATGTTGACAAACTGTGATACTGTGGTTTATAATAATATATATTTTGGTCTTCAACTCCAGTTCCAGGTACAGAGGTCCTAAAACTCTTGTAATTTCCTGAGTGATCAGGGTGCCAGGTGCATCTTTTGTTCTCATATTTGGCCTCTGACCTTGGTTCCTGATACAGAGCTCTGAATCCCTTGGAATTTCCTAGGTGATAGGAGCATCTTTTGTTTAATCAGGTGACTTTTGGTGGGTTCCTGAATGGAAGGTGGTCAAAAGAAAGACCAAGCCATGATTTGACGCCTGGAACTTTCAGCCCCATCCACCAACCTCTGAGAAGGGAGGAGGTCCTGGAGATTGACCTAGTAAATATCACACCTATATGATGAAGCTTCCATAAAAATAACTGAAATGCAAGGTTCCTAGAGCTTCCAGGGTACTGAATATCTGGAGATAGTGAAGAGTAATGCTCCTAAAGAGAGCATAGAAGCTCTGCATCCCTTCCCACATACCTTTCCCTATGCACTTCTTCTACATGGCTGTTTGTCATTGTAACATCTTTTACCTCTTGTAACATCCTTTATAGCAAACTAGTAAATAACTATAAGTGTTTCTCTACGTTCTGTGAGATATTTTAGCAAATGATCAAAGATTTGAAGAAGATGTAGGAATCCTTTATTTATAGCCAGCTGGTCAGAAGTATAGGTCGCAACCTGGAACTTGTGACCAGCATCTCAAGAGGGGGACAGTCTTGTGGGACTGAGCTCTCAACCTGTGGGGTCTACACTATCCCTGGGTAGATAGTGTCAGAGGTGAGTTAAATTGAAGACAATTTAACAACAATTGTAGACAACTGGGTATGGAAACCCAGCTGCTACCTACAGAGAACTGGAGAGTGGTTGGTGGGGAAAAACACCCCCAACATCTGGTCACAAAAATGTGTTGTGTTGACAGTATAGTATGAGAAAGCAGTTTGTCTTCCAAACAGATTACCGATGGGTACAGAGGTGAGAAAAAGTCTGGTATACTTCAGATGGAAACAGAGTACTCTTTTACTCCTGGGTAGATTAACCTTTACTTTTTACCCCACTGGATTTATCTGAGATTCAGAGACATCTGATGTTCAGTTCCACCATTTAAACAGATACAGCAGTCATATAGAATTCTCCGGGCAGAAATTTTGTTTAGAAAACAATTTTTAGAGCTTTTTAATGGAATAAATGCTATAAATTATTTGTTCCATATATACAGACAACGAACTAACAGGATCCCCTTGTTGTACAACTCCAGGAGACAACATTCACATCTCTACGGACATGTGCAATGTAAGGCTCTACTGGGGACTCAGGACTCAGCAGCCCATTATCTCAAAATATCTGGCCAGGACATTTAAACAACTTTTTTTGAATTCAGAATTTTAATGTTTTTAGTTGAGTCTGGTTTGCTTTGGTTCTCCACAGGACTCACAACTAACACACACCTTCAAACATTCAAATTTATATTACCTGCCTGATTTGTGAAGACCTATGACTTTGTCTTCCTGCCAGAGCAAGACTTTCGACTAATTACTCTGATTACTACCCAACAGGCAAATCCACTTATTTGTAACCTGCTGACTATGCTATCTGCTTCATCAGGATTTTGCTAAGAATGGCTCCCTTCATGTAAGAATCTAGCTCCTAGTATTTTGTGTGGTTTTCTATTTTGGCTTATTCGTGTATCCATTCATATATTTTCCATCTTCCAGGAATTCTTAAAAATTTCTAGTTCTCTGACAGAATCCTATCCTGTTTTATTATTCTTGTTACATATCTTTACTATCATGTCAATGAAATTTCTGGAGAGGAACAAAGATATAAAAGCAAGTGTGCTATCTTGGACTACAAATCTAAGTCCACCTTAAAAAAATATAATCTCATCCTTGGTACTTGATTTCATTTACTGCTAGTAGGTTCTATTGCCCTTTGTTCCTGAGTGTTCGGGACAAACAGAAACATATGTATTTTTATGGAGGACGTGTTGTTCACTACCACAAACAATTTTACTTAGAATGTGAATTATCCTGGCTGAGACTATATATGTAAAGCCCTTAGCACAGAACTTGGAACACAGCATGGCAAATGCTCAAATAATAACTGTTAATAAGAATTGGGGGAAGAAAAGGAGAGAAGAGGTAGTTAAGTAAAGGGTTAACAGATTCAGATAAAAGAGAGAATGGTAAAATAATGTGCTTGACAGAGTTTAATATCACAAACCCATTTACTGATGAGTTTATGATACACAATTTTTCTGAGTACTAAATACAAATTGTTAAACTGGGAATATGATGGACAAGAACAAGTTACGTATTTAATTTAAGCCTAGCCAGAATAATTATGGTAGGCCTAGTCAATTCCCTATTAGTTATTCATTTATGATCATTTTACATCGTTAAGAGTCTCAGCTGTTTTTTATTTCTTTTTAAAAGGGAAATTATAAGCTTTAGTGATACTTATAAATTACTCTTGGCCTCTCTCATAAATATGAGGAGGCTAGTTAACCTTAATCATTAGGCTGAGAAATTTGAAAGGCCCCAACAACTCAAGTTTTCCGTTTGTATACAGGAACTCACATAATTACTAAGTTTAGTAGTATCTGGAAGGAACAAGAATATTCTGATGAAGAGAAGGGAAATGCCTAGGACTGAAGAACACATTTCCTCCTTTCTGCTCATGAATACAGACAATAAAGAATTAATTTAAGATCTACTGCGGATGGGATGTTTGCCACAGTTTTGTTAACACAGGCTGCTTCAAAGATAGAATATCTATTCACAGATAATTCATATATAATTTTACCTGATATTCCCCTTTTAAGTGGGGCATCCCTGGAAAGATATTGCTTAGTAATTCCCCATCTTAATGTGCAAAAATATCATTTTAATTTCATTCTACCCAATAGAAGAAAGAGAAAGGGTAGGAGAGTTCAATTTGTAATTCTGCACAGTGAATAATTAGAGTTCATTTTTTACAACCAACCCTGTCTGTTCATGGAAAAAGGGCAGGAAAAGTATGGCTGAAGGTCATATTTTTTATTCCCTGACAATACATGATGCCTTTAGAAAGCCATATTTCCTAAGATAAAAACTTACTGCCTGAAAACTCCTAACTCCATTGGCTTTTTTTTTAAATTTTTTGAGGCTGAGTCTTGCTCAGCCACTCAGGCTGGAGTACAGGGGCGTATTCTTGGCTCACTACAACCTCCACCTTTCAGGTTGAAGAGATTCTTCAGCCTCAGCCCCCCGAGTAACTGGAGTTACAGGCATGTGCCACCAGGTCTGGCTAATATTTTTGTATTTTTAGTAGAGGCGGGGTTTCACCATGTTGGCCAGGCCGGTCTCAACCTCCTGACCTCAGGTGACCCATCCACCTCAGCCTCCCAAAATTCTGGGATTACAGGCGTGAGCCACCGTGCCCAGCCAACTCCATTAATTTTCTAAACTCATATGCAGGAATTCTTAACTTCTGAGAGTAAAATGCTTTGATAATAACATTTTTTTCTTAAGTCAGAAAGGAATTTTTGGAATATTAAACAATGAGCAGTTGTACTTTTAATTTCTGTTGTCAGAGAGAAAAATGAAAAACTTTGACTTCAGTTGTATTTGAAAATGAAATTTTTTTTATTGTCAAAAGTAACCATAGACATTAAAAAAGTAGTGATGTATATAGATGCATTGCTTAAGTCTACTGACAATATTTGTTGCACTTAAGAATTATAGATCACCCACAATAATTCCACAGATTTCTCTGCTTTAAATGTTGCTTACAGGGTTCATTGTTCCAATGGTAATACTAATATTCAACAACCAAAGGTTAAGTAGATGAGGGGAAACACATCAATCACACTGAAAGTTCAACATCTGATAATGTAACTCAGAAAGGAGATTTCTCAAGGGTGAAGAAAGAATCTTACCTGACACACATTAGACAATGAACAAGTTCAAGTCTTAAAATCCTGATTTATTTTAAACTAGTGCTAACATATGACTGTGGTTCAAGTTTGGCAGACAGGTTTAAATGTCAAATCCAACACAAATGACAATACAATTTATTTCAGTTAAGGAAGTTGGACTTTGGCACCAAGTAAATTATGTCTTTTTCATTCCTACATGGCATGGATGCCTCTATTTGCATGACTTCTGAGTATGAAGTAATAATGTATTGATTTTCAACAACTGATCTTTCTGAAAAATACAAAGAAACAGCAAAATGCTGATATTAAAACTGACTCACCACTGTCCTCTGTTTGTTGGGCAGGAAGACTCTAACGATAGGTTTTTGTGGTGACTTGGGGTTGCTCCGTGCCACATCTGTGGGATTTTGAAAAACTGAAAGAGATGAAGGTAGCACTGAAAGGCTAGAAGAGGAAGAAGATGTAACGGTGTCCATTGATGCAGAGCTAGAAACAGAAAAATCAGTTCCGTTTCCCAGAGATTCCAATAACTGTTGCTCTCTTTGTTGGAGTGCATCTAGCTTGCTGGTGTATTCTTCATATGCCTATAAAATAAAGTAGACTTATATTCAATCTGGACTTTGTCCTGACATTAACAAAAGAGAATATAAAATTTTAGCCCTTGATTATAATCTTTTAACCAGCTGAGTTTTAAGTTTCAAATTACAAAATAAGTGCTAGAAATACTATACTTTCACCTTTAAATTGACGAATTCTTTGTTATTAGATACCACACTATATTACATCTGAGAAATCTGACTTATACATATGTGATATCTAGATGGTCCATGAATAATAAAAAAGTACAGTATTTCCAATTTTCTGGTCCAATTATATTTACCTTCCAAACCATGTCTAACACAACACATTGTATAAAGGATAAGTCTTCCTCCTATTAAAAGAATTATTTTGTTCCAGAAAAGCTGTAGGCATATAAATTCCATTTTCTCTCACAACAGAAAAAGAAGTTGAAAAGGACATGAGGTATTAAAGATTTGTTCAAAAAAACCCCACGAAATTTAGGACACAGTACCAGATCTCACTGTTGGCACCAAAATCTCCTCAATAGGGTTTAGAAGATGTGTAACTCCCACATTCTTTCTGAAATAGCTATCAGTTAAAATACTTTATTCTTCTCACTGCGGCTTTTTAATGACTTGTTTCTGCACCAAATGCTGTTTAGAAATTAGGACTTGTATGCAAAGTCATAGGCCTTGTGAAAAAAGAAAAACAAAACAGAATTGTATTTGAAAACATGGCTTATGCCCTATAATCAAGAAATTCCGAGGCTACTCAGGGTATCTTCCTAGAAGTTTCATTTGATGAAGGCTATAAAGTCAAGCAACCGTTATACAAGATATCAAATTTTGAAAGAACTGAATGACATTAAACGAATTGGAATATACAAGTCCACGGTTCTTTTAGGCATTAGTAATTCCCTCGCTCACACTATGGTCTACTATTTCTTCCTACCATCTCAAATAGATATAACACTACAAACATTTATGAAAGGGAGAAACAAAGATTTTACAATGCTCTGTCCCGTCTCTCAAGGAGTTTATTATTGGGCAGTGGAGTAGGAGATGGATGTATTTTTATTTGTGTAACTGCATACATGAGAAATAAACAGTATTCTTGATATAGGTAAGAATGAGGAAGGAAGGCGATCTTGAAAAGTTGGCAATTTAGGTGGACAGAGGAAGTGGGGAGGAGGGAGTCCTGTATACAGGAAAAATCCTGTAACAAAGAGTTTGTTTTTTCTGTAACAAAGAAGGTGGGAAAGTTTAAGATACAGAGGAAAAACTACAGATTGGTATAGTTCAATGTCATACAATACCTGGGACACAGCAAAGGATCAATATATGTTTGTGAAATTTAAATGAAACTTTAGCAGCATACATGTTCTCTTAAAAAAGAAAGAAATTTAAATGAAAAATAGGTAGACAGAAGAACAATAAGGCTAAAAAGGTGGAAGGGATTAGACTGTAGAGTGTATATGCCATGTTATAAAGTCTGAACACAAGGGAGCAAGGGAGAATTATAAGATGTAACATAGAATGAAAGAGAAATTTCATTTCAATAAAGGCCACAGGGCCCTGCTATGCTATATCTTACCACATAATTTGGAAGAAAACAAGGGGGGCAGGAAATAGTAACAAGAGCTACCGAGGTAAGAGATTTAAACTGCATCAAAATGTCCTCTTTGTTTACAGCCTGCTAGTTGACCTACCAAGACCTTGTTTCACAGCAGATCAGGGCATTAAAAACAAATAGATGCCAAATTTTCTGAGCTGCAATTCAGTTTAGCTTTCAGTACCAAGGCCTAATTATTTAAGTGTACTTCTCTCAATACAATCCACTTACTGAACCTTCAATCATTCAGTAAATACATATTGATATACATGTTTGGCTCTGTTAGGGTTCAGACTATAAACACAAATAAGACCAACAAAATTCTTACTCTTTGAAGATCACATAAATGCAGTCTGGAACACAAAGGTTCCTCCTGCATGGATAAAATATTCTTATTTACTGTCACCTGGGCAAGTATAGTTACTACACAAAATAAACCTTAGGAAAAATAATGAACAGAAACAATTTTCCAAACATTATTTCCTTTTCAAAATGTTAGACTTTATTTTAAAAATTATACTGATCCCTCTATGACAGATTATAAGCTATCACTTCACCGCATTTATCAACAGCTTTTCCTTTTGTTAAGTACAAAACATCTACTTATTCCATCTCTCTCCATCCTCAAAGTTGCAATCTACCAAGACCCCTGGTTCATTTCACCTACTACCCTTGCTGCGTTCAGTATGAACTTCAATTAGTCTTTTAATACTCCTGCCATAGATTTCTCTAAATCTCTCATCTCTAAAGGCATTTATTTCCATTCTACCTTCAAGACTCAGAGAAACATCACAGTCTTTAAAAAAGAAATACAAATGATGAAAAGATCTCAATTTAGAACCTCGCACACCCGTAGGCACATATATTTATCCCACCTTCTTAAATGTCTATCTCACTACATTAATCTGTTCAAGGTCAACATTAATCTCTCAAACAGTTACTAAGCTTTGGCCACTGTCTTCCTTCACATACTTTGTGGTTCACCACTGCAACAATGCCATTGGTGATATCTTAGGTTTTCTGGCTAATTCTTGTTATTTTATCAATTAGCTTGCCAGATACAAATTTTGGGTAAATCTTACCATTCAATTATTCTATTTTTTCCTATCAGGTTACCACACACTGCTGGAGAAAATAATAAAACTAGTCTAATTAGTTCCATGATCTATTCATGAAACTGATTTGCCTGCTTCTTCACACTACTGCCTGAAAATCATGCTTGTTTTTAATATCATATCATAGTCACAACAGTTATTCAACCTTCCTAATTCTTCTCTGGATCTTAACTTCATCCCTCAATTTTTAATTCACTCTGAAAATAATATTACTTTCAAATCCACTCTGAAAATCAAAGTCATCAAATTAAAGTTTACTTCTTTATCTGCATAATTCTCCACATCTTTCCCCATTCTTCTTTAACTCTCACTTTAGTGCTAACATTGCGTGTTTAGGGACTTAGTCTACCATTCCCTCCATTTTCTCTCATATCATCTACCTTTCCCTTTTCCTGTTTTCTCACTCTAGTAATATGAGCAAGCCACTCCAAAACATGTGCAAACTTCAACCACAATTATCATCACCAAAGTTCTTTTGGTTATTCAAAATGCTGCAGATACCAGATACCACTTCTTCAGGAGACAATTTTTCAAAAACCCTATTTTTTCTAATCAAAACTCTACTTATTTTTCAAGCAATCTAATTCTAAGCTCTCCTTGCTAAAATCCAGAAGAGGTATCCTTTCTCTTTATCTCCTTTAGAATATTTATCATACTCTTCTTTATATGGCTAATTTTTCTCAACTTCAAAATAATTTTGTGAGGATTAAATGAGATAATACAAGTAAAATAAATTATTGTAGAGACTACCACTGGTATTAGTAATAATGAGTAGTAAAAAAAAAAAAAA